GAAGAAAACCGTACTTCTTAACAGTGCGCAAGAATGAGATCTTTTTAGCTGTTGTGCGCACTCTCGAAATAGGCACGCTCATTAATACCAGTAAGTACCATGCCGAAGGGTTTTATGTGCGTCCATTACTTTCTTCTGTATCGATTCGAAGGCGTTCTGCTCTCTGAATGCTAAAGGACTGGGATCCCAATTCAAAGAAAGTTCTACTTTCACTTTCACTCAATTACAGTTAGAGATTACACTCAATTTGGATGGGACCAAATGCTGTCCTTCTCAAGGAGAAGGGATCGAAGTTTCTTCAAAATTTCTTTGACTTCCCAATCCAGGATTCCCCCCTGTGAAAGGGCCTAATTATACCTGTATGTATATGTGTAGATGTAAACGTGAGCCGAAAGTAAAGAAACCATGAAGTTGAAAACAAATTTAGAAGGGATTTATGTTTTTCTAGCCTAGAGGAAGGATAGGATACGGCTCCAGAAAAGTCGTTGGCCTATTTCGAATTCTTTTTTTTGTTGAAGGTATCGCGGTTACATTTGGTATGAGTATGTAGACTTCAGTCAGAACTGAAGTTTACATACATACTCAAACGCTTATGTGTTCTGACGTAAAAGCAGGCGGTCAGACTTGCTGCTCATCTTTGCGTTTGCCATGTGAGGTACTAGGCCTACTCAACTTCCAAGAAGTTCGTTCTTCTGAGCAGTAGCTCCACCTAGAACTTTTGACTTTTTGTTGATTCGTGGAGTTCTTGAAGCTCCTCTCATCATCCTCAATGCCTGCCATGGCTTGGTTTAAATTGATTCGGAAAATCAGGTGAACTCAGGTACAACCAATAATAATTGAACGACATGTGATATGTTTCCTCCTGCGAAAGTTAAGATGCTGTTTCAGGCAAATTTTTCAAAAATCGAAGAAATGAGCACGGGTGCTGCCTATTGTCAACTAACGCATTTACTGTTCCGAGATGCCATCAATCTTCGGAAAGTTCGTGTTTTTTTTCATTCTTCCTGCTTCTGCTTGAATGCTTCTAATACGAGATGAAAATCAGTTTCTTGAAGGTTAAGTGGAATAGTCGCAACGAAATGGACCATCTCAACAATTGGAAAATACTTGGTACCTCATGGAAAACGCTTGGAGTGGACAAGGTTGTGATGTGTTCAATATTTCACTCATACTATTGTTTGTAGCAGTCAAAATAATACGTCTCGATCTCGCAAAAGAGAAAACGAAAGTCGCATCTGCGGACTACTGGGTATCGTTTCTTTGCGTTTGAAAAGCGCTGATGTCCTATTCTCATCTGCGCTCTCTCGCTATTGCGCTTTTGAAGCGACCTCACACATTCGAACCTTTGCCATACGAAAAGTGGCTCATGCATCTCAGCCTCCAAACTCTAATATTCCCCCTGGCTCACGTATCTGTCGTTTGGCACCGTTAGAATTTGCGGTAGGCGCCTCCTCGATTTTTTTTGCCCTCTAGTCTTTTTGAACTGAATATAGAGGAACTTTCAACTAATCACATAATCACGGCAGCGGCGCGTCGTATGCTCGCGCTCTTTCAGCGAAACAGTGTGAGCTTGCACATTTTGTCCTTCCACAAATGCCAAATGACTTATTGCTCCCTGCCCACACTACCCTGGCTTACGGAATCTCCATTTCGTACTAATCTCATAACTATCTCGCCGACGATGAGTGACACAGCATTTACGCGCACTTCGGTGGCGACTGCCGCTCCTTCCTTCCCCCTTCCCCCCCCCCTCAAGCTTCAGTAGTACATTTTCTACCCCACTGCTAAAGAATTCCCCTAGTTTCTCGCAACGTTACGATAACAAATTACAATGTTTCAGTTGTCAGCATTGTTTATTTCTGCGCTTTCAGCCAGTTCTCGTGGAGCGGCTGACGAAGGGAAAATTCCAGGACAACTTTGAATTCCTTCAGTGGTTCTTCAAATTTTTCAACGCCAATTATGTAGACGACGGCGAGGAATATGACGCATTAGCTGCTCGAGGGGGCGAAGTAAGTTCCTCCGTTCTGTATCCTTTTATTGCTGTGCCAGGAATTAGAACAGTTGGGCCCGTCTTGTCGTTATGTCACACACACAGCCGCGTTGTGATAGCGCATAGAAACAGGACGAGCTTACATTCTTTTTGGGATCTCCGACCCAGTTGCTTCTCCACGACCACAAATTGTAGAGATTTCATTTCACGGCGAATTTGTGAAGCGGTGCTAAAGGGTTTGAACGCATTACGAAAACCGTTCGGTTAGGGTCGGGTCATTTTTTGCAGCTCGGTTAGCAGTTCGAGTGTGATGTAGATGCGAATCGGTCAAGCAATCTCACCATTGCACGATTGCAAAAGCACGACGACAC